GGAAAGAGGCTGCTTAGTCATTTTTAAATGACACAGTTCCCTCAGCCTTCTTATCTGAGAAATTCTCTGTTCCTTTGTTGCAGGGAGAGGTGGGGAGCATTTTGAAACTTTCAGGGAAGTGATGCTCATGTGTGACTGTGCTGTTTAGTAGCTCTGATTAAAATCTGCTGTTCACCAAGTAAAACTGGGAAGTCAAAATAGAAATCACTGAGCAGAGGAGGATAAATGGGAGGGAGACTAGAACCGGGAATGATGTGGGAGCATGCTTTACGACAGTGGTGTTGGTGAAAGGCTCTGTCCAAGGTGTGAAAGGCTATCCAGGCATTCTGGCTCTCATGCTGTCACATGGCCACCGTGAAACCCAGAAGAGAATTAGGTGACATGTTACCTGCTGATGTTGGTCCCCACAGGAGAAAGCAGCTAGTTTTTGCTATTTGCTCTGCTGTGTCTTACCTTTCCAGCCTGGGGACACTTAGAGCTGCTCGTAGTAGCTGCAGTGGTCACTGCTCAGCACAGCTGATCTCCGTGGGAATGGGCCATCAGCCCCCTGAACAGCTGGCTCTGTCTACGCGTGTTTGAAGAGCCTTCGGAAGGAGAGAGGCTGAGAGCTCACTATGGACTGGAGGAGGCATTTTGGTGACGGCTGTGGGGAAGCTATGTGGTAGAGCTGAAACGCTTCTGTGGAAGCTGCAGAAAGTTCTTGGAAGTCAGGAAATGCCACAACCAAAATTGCCTTAGTTTTTACTTCAGTTCTCTTGTGTATCTGCATTGCCGTGTGGTCTTTATGTGGTCATAGCCTGTGTTTTCCAGGATCAGTGCATTGGTGAAAGATGCCCACTAGCTAACTTCGTTCATCCTGCTGTTTTGTGTGGCTGTGTGCTCTTGTATCCCTGCTCATAAGACAAAATTACTCATTTCCCTGTGGGCTTCTCTGGGATACTTATTGCTGTGATATCTGAGCACTTCACAAACAGTAATTTAGTTCTGCAGCCTCCTTTAGGGAGGGAAGACAGCAACCTTGTTCAGCATGGATTAAAGAGAATTTTTTAATAGAATTGGATTTTTATTATCTTTAAGTAGCCATTTATTTATGTCGTAGTCTGTTGAATG